ATTCACCGAACATGCAGCTTTCAGGATATTAACATGGACAAAGCTGAGCAAAGATTAGTTTTAGCATCGAATTGGAGTTTAATAGAGAGAGATCGGGCATGACGTATTCTCAAGAAAATCGATTTTGCAATTTGTTCTCAAAGATTCCTGCTTATTCACGCCACTGTCACAGTTATAAGCCTGGTCCTCTAACGCAACTTTATCATTTTGTAATCATGCTGAGAACTCAATTACAAATTTCAGTTTGACAAAATTCTTGGAGATCGTTAAAAGATTAACTGACAGTTCTATTGTTCCTACGAAATTGAAGAACCATTTAAGTGTACAAAGCGAGTACTCATACGACGCGATTAGGTCGTTCAATTTTAAGAAAAATTTTGGAGGTAGTAAGACACTTAAAGTACTTCTGGAATTTGGAAGAGATTTGTAATAAGCACCAATGAGAATTATGACAATTTCATTAAAATTTTCTAAGCGTTTCTGTCTCTCTTAAAAACTCTTTAATTTTTTTCAACTTCTAGAATATTAGGGAGATGGTTTAGGAAAATATCTTCCCAACTTTTCAGTACTTTTGAGGAATGAAATAAGTGACGTTTAAGTTTAATAGAAAAATCTATTATTATTTCTTCAGCACTATTTGGAATTTAATTTAATATTAAATACCAATTGCAAAATAAATAAATTTACTTGGAGGACTTTTAAACTTTCGTCACCAAATTCAACAATATTTCGGCTGATATCCCAATCAGTCAGAAGGGGAAAGAGACAAGTTCTCCTTGTGATGAGGAAAATTTACCATTGGTTAATACTGAGTACTTTAAGTCATAAAATGTACGTCCTATTTCACTTTTATGAGGGAGTTAAGAAAAACCAAGAAACACAAGAAGTGGCAGATAATGGGAAATCAAATTAGTTTCGGACAGCTGATGAATCACCTCTGTTAAAGCCATTCCAAAACAAAAAAGGCCAATGGAAATTTCGTTTGGAGGAAATGTACACTAACTACACATAAAAATTATTTAATGGCTCTCTAGGCATCCAAGGGGTTTCATTCATGCCTTTATGTCTCCCATTACAACAGTATGAGTACTATTGAAATCGATTATTGTTTCTTTAAGACAACCATTAATCTTAAAAACAGGAATAGTTTATTTCAAATGGCAGGCGTTTTGATAGATATCATTAGCCCTTTAGTTGACTTCAGGCTTCACAGAGGAGGAGGAACATCAAAGTGCAACAAGTCGAGAGGGAGAGGGGGAACAGAAGAGAGTTTCATAGATGTAAAAGAGACAGACACAAAAGTGGAAAAAGGTGAGGTGAGTACTGTGGAAGTAGTCGAATATGACATACAATGGGGTAAGGGTAGTTTGAAGTAAGAAGTCAATTGCCAGTTAATAGACTTTTTTGCCGTATGAGTGTACGTTGCCCAGGGTGCACCACGTGGAGGTAAGTCTATCGCACACCCCACAACAGGAATAAGGGCGAATGGAAAAGTCTGTGG